AAAGCTCCCTTTGTTACGGTCATTCCCACAAATACACTAGACTGGAGAACTCACACACACATACATCATTCACTTACACATTCACATATACACTCAATACCTGACAACCCCAAAGAACAGAAACCAGCCCCCTTACCTGTGTTCTTGTTACAGGCAATGGACACCTCCTCTAGGATCTTCTCTGCCTTTCCTCCCGAGAGCCCAACGGTGCGCATGTTCACCCACACCAAGTGGTTGTCTGTGCCTCCTGTGACGATCTTGTAGCCCTTCCCCTGCAGCCCCTTGGCCAGAGCTTGGGCATTCTTTATCACCTATGGAAATTTTTTAAAATGTGAAATAAGAGTGGAGAAGAGCTTAAAAAATATATGATAGTATATAACCTTTTTTCACACGTTTTTATTCACACTACCAAATTCTTTGTTTCCATTTGCTTTGTGGGCCTAGTAGGGTCTGTTATCACAACTATTTGGTTTCTCATATTACAACAAGCTATTCCATATAGGGATTTTGACAAGGTGGTCACTAGCTAACTCTTGCCAAACCCACTCTTGGTCCGTAGAGGTAAGGCAAGTAAAAACAGTAAAGAAGGGATTTTAACCTTTATCGGGCACACATCTTAATTACCTCGTATACATACATGTATTAAGTGTTCATGTATGGTCACTTGCCCATAAAGGGTTAAGGAGGGCTAGTTTAAGGGTCCTGGGAACAGAGGCACACAACCATGCCTGAAAACAAAACAGAAGCATCAACAAACCTGCTGCTGGTACTCCTTGAAAGAGGGTTCAGCTGCCTGCCTCATAGCCACAGCGATGGCAGCAATCTGGTGGTTGTGGGGCCCCCCCTGAAGACCAGGGAACACAGCTTGGTTGATTTTGTCTTCATAATCATACATGATGGGCTTGCCAGTCTTGTCGACACCCTTCTGACCTGGGTAAAAAGATGTATCCTTGTTCATTTATGTTATTAACAAAAGAGGTTTTCTCCTTTTGTTGGCCTGGAAAGGGTTAGTTCCAGAAGAAAGGATCCTGATTTGAAGAACATATACAGCCAACGTTCTCATTCAATACTTTCATGAGCCTCCACATGTCATTCAGTGGACACAATGGTCAAATACTGACTGATGGGAAAATAAGCACTAGCAAGTCCTTTTCATTTCATTATACTGCATGTAATCTATTCAAATCTACCTGAAACTAACAGTCTAACACCTAGAGAGCTGGTCTAGAGGTTGCTGAAAAGGTAGTATATAACAGAAAATGTAATTAGGCTTCCCTGAACATCATTTCAGTTTAAGTTTCATTTTTCTAAATCTGATTTTTTTTAGCATTAATACAGTACTATCTACTTCTGTTACCAATGTAAAAGTAAAATAACTCTGGTTCAAAATAATACTGTAATTTGCAAACTTGTGTTGAACATACCACAACTCTTTACCAAATATAAGCCTCTTCTTACTAAATGCTATCTCTTCTACTGTAGGTGACAATACATCATACCAAAAACTAACAAGTTAAGCAGAAAAAAAAAAATCAGTAAGCATATTCAGCAGATGAAATAAAATTCCAACCAAATCAACTTACCTTTCCTGTAGAAAATGATTCCGCTGCGAGGGCCGCGCAGAGTCTTGTGAGTGGTTGAGGTTACAATATCGCAGTACTCGAAGGGGTTGGTGGTCAGGCCAGCTGCCACAAGGCCACTCACATGAGACATGTCAGCCATCAATAGGGATCCATTCTCATCACAGATCTCACGGAATTTCTTATAGTCTAGATGACGAGGATAGCAGCTCACACCTACAGAAAAGGTGTAGTGAATTAATTTTTTCCATAGAATTTCTGAGTTTCACTTTTTTACAATTAACTACATAGACAACAACATTTGTTTCATAAATTCTGGAGGGGAGTCACCTGACCTTTCAAAAGGCCTTGCAAAAATGTCTTGATTAATCCATTCTAAAAAAAAACTCAAAATAATCCCTGATTAAAAATATGATGGTCACAAATTTCTTCACTCACAAGGGGTAGGACAGTCCATTCTTTCAAAATACTTAAATTTTCAAGGAAGAACCAATACCCTAAGTGGATGACCTAAATCTTGGACTTTTGCAAGACTCAACAAAATGACTCTGGGTACATACACTCTCTGCTATGGATTTATTTTATTGACTCTCCTTATACACATGGACAGTTTGATTCAGTAGTTACCTACTAAGACACTTTCAATTCAATGTAAAAAACATCTTTCATTTCTAATACTATTATCATCATCAGTAGTTTCATTATCATTGTTTTGGTTATCTATCACTACATCATTGAATTATAATATTTGCAATTATAATGATAATACAATATAACACCCTCTTTTTTTTCCAAAAAGTTCAGATAGATCTTGTACTTTATATCACCTTTAAACAGTTTAACCGTTTAACAGTAAGAAAAAACAAAAAAATAATAAAACAGAAAAGAAGATTATAGTGGGCAGTGCACATATACACGCAGTCCTAGTGCCAAAGCGCTAAACCTTCTCCCTTGAATACCATCCTCGTCTCAAACTATATGGACTGTACCACTTCAATCCACAAAAAACATAAATCAAATAAAAACCGGTGTATCAATCCAAACCTAAAATCCCGTACTCAAGAATCTCTCCTTTCCCCCGACCCCCCTTACCTGCGATGATCAGTCTGGGCTTGAAGAGTTTGGCATTCTCCTGCAGCTTGTCGTAGTCGATCAGCTCAGTCTCGACATTGATCTTGTATGGCATCGACTCGAAGAAGATGGAGGTGGCTGACACTTTCTTGGTCGCAGTGTAGAAGCCGTGGGTCAAGTGGCCGCCATCGGGCAAGTCCAGACCTGCAACAGGAGGAAAAGGCATGGATTAATATTTGCAGTCACATGAAGGAATTTCTTGACCTCCTACACACCATTAAAGACTTAAGCCCAACTGAACTAGAAGATATAGGATATTCATTTACAAAGTGTACTAATTTTGAAACAGTGAGAGTAGCAAACACTGATATGGGTGGATATGTTATCATGTGCATTCTTAGCCTTAAAATAAAATAAATAAATAAATAAAATTAATAAAAATAAATAAATAAATAAAAAATAGTAATAAAAATAAATTAATTAAAATACTATTAAAATTTAAATTTTTTTTTTTTTTTTTTTTATATTAAAGACTCCATTACGAAAGTATATTAAACAAAGATAAACACAAATACACACCTTATCTTATAAAGATCTTTGAGAAATGTTCTTTGAAATTAACAAAATATTTCTAATTAGTTTTAAAAGGACATTGTTGTTCTTTGACATTAGCAAAAAATGAAAAAAATAGTAACCATCTGACAGGGAAAAGAACAATGAATAAAAAAGAAATAAAGAAAATAAAAAAATAAAAAGAAAAAAATGAAACAAAGAAAGAGAAGAGAAGAGAAAACAGGGTATAATGAGGCCAACTAACCCATAATACGGCCGTGGGGTTCGACGAGAGCAGTGTAGACAGCGAAGTTAGCAGGAGAGCCAGAATAGGGTTGCACATTGACACCCCACTTGGCAGGGTCGAGGCCAAAGGTCGAGAGGGCACGTTGCTGGCACAGCCTCTCGACCTCATCAATGAACTCGTTTCCACCATAGTACCTGTAATGATAGTGAGTTTTTAGTTATTGAGAAGTGAATGGGTACTCATTAAACAAAGTGGTGAGGTAAAACTTTGTCTTTTGGCATAAAGTTATGGTATCTTTTCCATCAATGAAGAAAAAAAGAAAAAAAAAAAAAAAAAAAAAAAAAAAAAAAAAAAAGGGGTTATTCATTAATCTTTCTTTTGTCATAAAATCATTTTACCTTTTTCCTTTGATATATCCCATCATATAAAACTCTGATGTATGACATAACCTATTCAAGAAGTTTCATAAAATATGTTTCATAAATATGGACACATCCGAAAGTTCTGCACACAAACACAAAAACAAAAACACACACACACACAAGAAAAAAAAAGTATATAAAATCAATTCAAATAAAGTGGAAACTACACCATAAAAAAAAAAAAAAATAAAAATAATAATAAAATAAAATCCATCAATCAATCAATCAATAAATACATGAAAAAAAAAAACAATTACAGCCTTTGAAAAATAAACAAATAAACATACAAATAAAAAATAAATAAAAGAAAAAAATAAATATAGAATATATCTATATATCTATATCTATATCTATATATCTATATATATATGTAAACAGATATCTATACGTTTATATATAAATAGCTACCTATCTATCTAATTATCTATCTATCTATCTATCTATCTATATCTATCTATCTATCTATAATAGATATCTATATATACATAAATAAATATCTCTATATATAAATAGATGTCTGTATATATGCATAAATATAAATCAATATATAAACATAAATAGAAATCTCTCTTTATATATAAATATAAGACAATATATACACATATAAATATAATGTATGTATTCCACACATTTCTTTTACATTTGACTTCTTTGTTTACAAGAAATACTACTAAAACTAACTGACAAACAAAACCCACTCCAGCATCTCTTACCTCTGTCCTACCATGCCCTCGGAGTACTTGTTAGTCAGGCAAGATGAGAGGCAGTCATTGATGGCACGAGATGCGAAGTTCTCCGAGGCTATCATCTCAAGCCCATGCCTTTGGCGTCTCTGTGGACAGTGGGATAAATGATGAGAAAGAATGAAAGAATTGGGTGGAAGAACATTATTTTAATGTTTAATGTTTAATGTTAGAAACAAATAAATGTGCTAGACATCAAGGGTCATATAGCACTATTGTAGAATATTGTGTTAGAAAGAGTAAAGAAGAGATAAAGATTACAATAAAATGTGTTAGATGTCAAAGATTAGAGAGTATTATAGGATAGTATGGTAGTGAAAAGGGAAAAGAGGGGAGTAAGTGATCTAGAGCAGAAATTAGTAGAAAAGGGAGAGGTAAGGGGATAGGGCATTTGAGTGAATTGCAGTGTATCTGTCGCTGGGGAAGGTATAGGAACAAAGTTCAAGAAAAACAGAGAGGGCTGTTTGAAAAGTAGGAGAATAATCCAGGGAGAGGGAGGGTGATAGATGTCAAAGATTAGAGAGTGTTATAGGACAGTATGGTAGCAAAAAGGGAAAAGAGGGAAATAAATGAAGTAGAGCAGGGATTAGTAAAATGGGAAAGGTTAAGGGGGGTAGTGAGTGAATTGCATTGTATGTGACTGGTGAAGGAATAGGGGTAATGTTCAGGGAAAACAGAGATGGCTGTTGGAGAAGTAGGAGGAGAAAAATCCAGGGGATGAGAAATGGGGACTGTGGAAGGTGGTGAACTATCAGGAAGAATGTCTGGAGGGGAGGGGTCTGGAGAAGGACACCATTATGATAGAGGGGATTCATGTGAGTATTCAGGTGGGAGCGGTATAGAGGGTGGGGTATGTTGGGACGGTGTAGGAAGAAGGGGGGTGGAGGGAACTTGAGGAGGAGGAGGAGGAGGAGGAGGAGAGAGGAGGAGGAGGAGAGGAGGAGGGAGGAGGAGGAGGAGGAGGAGAGGGAGGAGGAGGAGGAGGTGGAGGAGGAGGAGGAGTAGAGGGATTGGGAGGTGGATGAGGGTGCGGAGTGCTCCCTTGGGTAATCTTTAGGAAGTTTTGAATGTGCTTTCTGTTGGTTATCCATTATTATGCATAAAATTTGTAAAATCATTTTGTGAAATATCATAATCAAATGAAAATAAATACAGAATGCAGACTATCTTGGTATGTAAACCAAAAATGCACAAGGAAAACAAAATATACAAAGTACCAAAAGACGTGCTCAAGACATTTCTTTTCCACCTCAAACACTTATACATGCTAGACAACACATCTGACTCAGTACCAAAGTTCACTGCAATTGTTTTCCATGTTTTTCCCCCCCAAACTTTTCTCTATAACCAGATGTATGCATCATCCAATACCATATCTATCTTGTCTCTCTAAGCTAAGCCTGCAATATCAACCCTATGCTCTCATTCCTCTAGTAGGCCCTCCTCTTCCTATGCAAATTACATGTATTCATATTTTCTGCCTCTTTCTTTTTGTGAATGGAATGTGCTGAGGTATGGATTTGTAATTTTGATATTGTATGGCATATTTCGTCAAGGTAAACTTCCAAACTTTTCCTCTCTATCTTTTCCCCTCTGCACACTGTCCAGTACTATAATATATCAAAAAAGAGTTAAATTGGTTAGGTCCTATGTCGGTGCTTTTACTGCTATACATGATGATGTTTAAAAAGCAACTAAAACCTGGCAAATAAAACCTTCTTGTGACTGAGGAGACACATTAAAGTGCTTGCAGCTTATTGGGGTTAATCCAACAAACTAAAACTGCCTATATACTGTGTAAATAAGTATGCTAAATAAAAGAAAAAGAAAGAAACTATACAAAAATATTAAGTAATACATGCAATACTAATATTACAAACTATGACTTATAGTAATACAACTAAAACTGCCTACATACTCTGTAAATAAGTATGCTAATAAAGTAAGAAAGAAAAAACTATACAAAAGAGAGAAAATACGAAAAGCCTCTGATACCAAATGCAAATTTCTCAATGTCATTACCACTTGGAACACTTGTATCTACAGATGTAATATATCTGCAATACTAATTAACACCTGCAGAATTCCATTTTGAGAATCTAATTTTTTTCCATCCATTTCAACGTTCTCGTCTCAAACACAAGCTGACAAAATAGATAATAAAATACAAGTATCATTTGTACTACTACTACTACCAATAATAAAGTTGACAGTTGTCAACTGAAAATTTGTTGTTCTTTGCTATAGTGTTGTTATTTGTCAAATAAAAGCATAATCTCCTATATTCCTTGTTTTATCAGGTATAATTACAAGACCTAGATGTCTGACATTAGTCTACAAGTCACATCCACATCTCAGCCACTGACTCTGTACCTGCAACACTTTGGGCAAGGTAAATAAACCATGCATTTTCTTGTGCTTACAGATGCAAACTCATCAAATTGCCCTAAGCTATATCTTCCAGAATACACGTGGCGGACATATGTTGTTCTTTGCTATAGTGTTGATGGCAAGGCAGTGGCACTAATCACCTGAGACTATGCCACTGTTGCATTGTACTATGGATTGCAGGTCCTCCATCATAGCAGGGGTAAAATGGTCAGAATAGGTCCACTCAAAATTGAAAGTAAAAAGTTCCAACAGATACTAGAAATGTATTCAAAAAGTACAGGTGGGGACACAATCCCCATCAAAGTCTGCTAACTCGTGCTTACAGAACTTAATCCAAAGATACAGTGGCCTCTGCACCCCATGGTCTAGTACATGCAAACCAACCTCTAACATTTGTGTTCTGGCAGGACAAACTGTCAAATTCCGTGGCGATTCAAGCACAGGTTCCCCTATCAGACTTGGACCTAGTCCAGCAGCCAATTTCAATTACCAAACCTCCTGTTGTATCTACATTAGATTTACATTCTGCCCAGCTAGGAGCATCTAGACTGGCTTCAAAATATTTATGTATGATATAATAACTACATATTAATATTCAACATACTTCTATGAGTCTTAGAGTATAGCTCATCATTGTCCTTGAAAGAAAAGTTGGCTCAGGGCAATAACACAATGCATCTGGTTCTCCTAATTCCCCTGATCCGAGTCTGATCCCAAAGACAGACAAACCTGATGGAACGAGGCCAAGCTCTTTTTCGCTAAATATACATGGAGAAGGTTTGCTAGCCTTTGCTGTGGTACAACAAGGTCCTATTCTGAAGAGCCACTACAGAAAATTTTATGTGGATTTCCATACAACAGATAAAATGTTCCATTTTCCATCTTACCAGCATATATACAAACTCAATAACAAATATGAAAATGGATTTTAAAGAGCGTTCCAACTTCAAAACATTTCTTTTTCATGAAAAAAGAAGAAGAAAAAAAAAACCTACCCGAACATTAACAAAATTCTGGATAATCACTCTAATTACACTACAAAACACAAATACTAAATCAATAAATAAAGCAAATACCCTCTAGCGAATAACCCATTTACACAGTGCCACTTCATAACTCCCCCCCCCCCCCCAATCCACCCAACCACAGCTCCCTCCTCTACCTTCTCCTTCTTGATGATTGCGTAGACCTCGGGATCATCTTCCACCAAGGGCTTGCACAAGGGGAAGTCGCTGCTGTAGGGGTGCACGTGGCCGTTCATTCTGCAAGATGGGGGGAATCATGTAAATTTTGCAAAAAAATCTGATGACTATTTTGTACCTGCAACTTTTAATTAATTTTATCTATTCATTTTTAAAAATATTTATCATGATATTGAAAGATTATCTATACCAGCAATAAATGAATATCTCTGGAAATCTGTAACTTTTCTTTAAAAAGAAAAATAAAGAAATTTCTTTTTAAATGAATGCATGATTTAATAAATAAATGCACACACACACACACACACATGCTAAGTCTATAACAATTAAAAAGACTATCTTCAATAATACATTCATACAACATATCATCTATGCATTACCTGTAGAAAAAGACAATATACATCAATCAACTTGTGCATCAGCCATCCATCATGTCAACCAGTTCCTCTAACCTGTCCTGTAACTGGTCAGACTCTGGCAACCTGTCAGCCAACAAGTGTCAACTCAGTCTTTCCATCAACCTTCTTTCTTCTTTTATTGTGTTTTCGCCTCAACTCCATCTTTCAATCAACATTTTTCTTTCTTCTTTTATTGGGTTTTACACTTTTATATAGTCTTTATTCCCCGAATCCTAATATTTTTTCTTTTCATAAATCAATCAATCTATCTGTCAGTCTATTAACCAATACTAACCATAATAAAATCAAGAGTCTATTTATTCCAAGCAATTGACTGTCAATCTACCACTCAATTTTGCAAGAGGTCATGTGAATAAATAAATAAAAAGCACAAAGGAGATACAATGAATAATATATATACTTGAAGGTATACGTTCACCTGTCAAACTATCCCTCAAATTTAGAAAAAAAAGAATAAATGAAAAAAAGGACAAAGGAGATATTATAATAAATAATATATAAACTATATCTTGTGATTATTCTTATTCTTATTCTTATAATATATAATAATATAATATATATATATATATATATATATATATATATATATATATATATATATATATATATATATATATATATATATATATCATGGACTGTCTTCTTCTTCTTTCTTTTTATAGGGTTTAGACTATAACAAGAAAGAAGACGACAATTTCATTTAGTGTGCACGTTTTCATCTATAAATAGAATCAGACGCAACAGTTTATACACAAAAAGATAAATGATGTATAGAATCATAAATAGATCCATAAACTAGGCACTTGCCTAATGGCAACACGATTTTTTTTTTTTTTTTTTTTTTTTTTTTTTGTCTACTTTCCATCTTTTTTATTCTCGTTTGACAGGTTTTGAAATGGGCGGGACCCCTACTTCCAACCCCGTCTTTCATTAAAAATAAAGTAGATATTAAAAGATTCTCAATTGTTTTCTTTATGGCTTGTCTTTAAGATGCCAAATTCGATAGGATTTTGAGTTTCTATTTAAAACTTGGATTTTTGGCGACGATGTTGATCTTATCGAGGTCCATGGTCACGTGACCTCACTGGCGGTAAATGCATTTCAAATGAATTCGTATTTATTCGTTCAAGATACGCACGCGTCACTTCAATCACAAACCAAAACAATACACCCACAGCCTCCACTCTTCGCTCTTTATCTGTTATTCACTCGGACGATGAAAAGCTGTCATTTCTAACTTACGTTAATTTATTTTCGTTCCCAGAGCTCTCCAGTAGCTTCCACTGAGACAACTTTCCTCAGAGAGATCAGCTGGATGGAGAGCACTTGTATATATAACATCGCTTCAACTGTCTGACCAATCAGCGATCACTATGCGTATGTCATGAGCCGAACGACCAATCAGCGACTAGCTAATATGTGACGTATGGCCGTGGCAGTTTCAAATGCTTAGTTTCTTTTCAATTTATTGAGCAAGATCAACACTAATTCTCTTACGTCAATAGTTTCCAAGGCATCAAGGAAATGTGTGTGATTGATAAGAGGTAACTATGTGTGGCAAATATGAAAGATATAACAAACAATTCATTTTTTTATATATCGAACTGGAAACGTCATCCTTTACGCAACACACAAATTTGGCTTTTTATTTTTATCTAAATATTGCGGCAACTCATTTTGCACCTCTGTCAAAATAATCATAATAGTACAACATATTCGTGCAGCAGTTGTTTACAATTTCTTTTTCTTCTTCTCCTTCTTCATTTTCTTTCGCTGAAACCTACAATATCACCTGTTGCTATGCGCTTTCAAAATCGGAAATTTCAGGAAAATATATTTTGTTATCTCATTACTTCCGGAATTCTGTAGCAGTAAACCGTTAGGCTGTATGTTAACCGAATCAACTGCATGCTTACAATCAATCACAAACTTGAGTGAACGTATACACACACACACACACACACACACACACACACACACACACACACACACACACACACACACACACACACACACACACACACACACACACACACACACACACACACACACATACACACACACACACACACACACACACACACACACACACACACACACACACACACACACACACACACACACACACACACACACCACACACACACACACACACACACACACACACACAACACACACACACACACACACACACACACACATACACACACACATACACACGTACATGGGACATGCATATCCATGCACAGATCTACATGTATATACACAGATATAGAGAGACTGATGGATACAAACAGAGGAACAGAGATAGACAGGAGAGAGAGAGAGAGAGAGAGAGAGAGAGAGAGAGAGAGAGAGAGAGAGAGAGAGAGAGAGAGAGAGAGAGAGAGAGAGAGAGAGAGAGAGAGAGAGAGAGAAACTTATATAGATAGATAGACATATATACATCTATAGATAGGCAGAGAGGGAGAGAGAGACAGACAGACAGACAGAGAGAGAGAGAGAGAGAGAAGACAGAGAGAGAGAGACAGAGACAGACAGACAGACAGGGACAGAGGAGAAGAGAGAGAGAGAGAGAGAGAGAGACAGACAGACAGAGACAGAGAGACAGACAGACAGACAGACAGACAGACAGACACAGAGACAGACAGACAGACAGAGAGGGAGAAAGAGAGAGAGACAGAGAGAGAGAGAGAGAGAGAGAGAGAGACAGACAGAGAGAGACAGACAGAGACAGACACAGACAGACAGACAGACAGACAGACAGACAGACAGAGAGATAGATAGAGAGAGAGAGAATACACAATCATACTGGTTTACAAGAACTTAACAAACACCTTAAAGTTGACATCCAATTATAAGTCAGAATTTTATGATAATTAGAAAGTACCCATCGACCCTGTATATGAATTGTTGTTGTTTACAGGAAGGTAAAATCACATTATTTGGTTCTCTTTTTTGGGAATAATGTGAAAAAAAATGAACGAAAAATCGACAAAAATGTGAAAATGTGATATATATATAGATTTTTTTCTCTTCTCATCAGAGAAAAGTTAACATAACATCAAACGCATTAAAATATCAGAACATGAATAGAATGATAGAAAATGAATATAAGGATGATAACCAGAAAACCCGAATCTATAGAGAACAGAAAAGAAAGAAGAAAGAAAAATAAATAAATAAATAAACACGATCCAAGCGTCAACAAGTGCGCAGTCGTACGATCACAGACCCCGACCTTGGGATCAAGTCCTCCTCGTCAGCCCATCTTAAAAGCAGATTCAGCCTCCTTATACTTTTAAATTTCCTTTAATGTAGATTTTTCTTTTTTCTCTTTTTCTCTTTTCCTTTTCTTTTATTGATGGGGAAATCGGGTTATTTTGGTTGTTAATGTTATCTCTCGTCGGTTATCTGTTGGTTATCTGTGCATGGTTGTGATTTGTGTGCTTAGAGTCTGTTTGCTTGCATGTTCTTCCGTTTTATCTCTCTCACTCTCCTACATGCATGCATATATATAAATATCTATCTATCTATCTATATATCTGTGTGTGTGTCTGTGTCTGTGTGTGTCTATGTGCATGTATGCATACCTACACATACATAAATCTATATATACATCATCTATCTATCTTCGTATACCTCCGTGTGTATGTGTGTCAGCGTGCCCAGTCTGCAGCCGCCACCCCGCCCTCCCCTCCTCCCCCTACTCAGCTCTCTGCAACCGGTCCCACAGTGAGTGCCTCGTTGCAGCTGATGACCGTGCAATGCCAGGGTCAGACGTGCAGGGGTCAGGGCTCTGTGGGAGAAGCTGTCTTCGTTTGTGCTTCGTCGGGGCTGCAAAAGGAGGAGGAGGAGGAGGAGGAAGGAGGAGGAAGGGGATTCAAGGTGTCTGTTATTTTCTCTTCTCTCTCTCTCTCTCTCTCTCTCTCTCTCTCTCTCTCTCTCTCTCTCTCTCTCTCTTCTCTCTTCTCTCTCTCTTCTCTCTCTCTCTCTCTCTCTCTCTCTCTCTTCTCTATGTATCTTTCTTTTTTTTCTAATTTTCTCTCTATCTGTGGTTGTCTTTTTTCTTTCTCTCTCCTCTCTCTCTTTTATGATGTATGTTTTTTTTTCCTCTATATGTATCTTTCTCTTTTTTTCTTATATCTTTCTCTATATCTACTCTCTCTCTCTCTCTCTCTCTCTCTCTACTTCTCTCTCTCTCTCTCTCTCTCCTCTCTCTCACTCTACTCTACTCTTCGTGTTCTCCAATTGTCGCCGTTTTTCCTTTTTGTCCACCATCTATTCATCATCATTATCACCTTTATTCTTCTTTTTCTTGCCGTCTCATATTCGCCTTCAATTACTATTACTACTCTTTCTATTTCTTTTGCTTCTCTTTTTCTTTATCTTCTCCTTCTCTTATCCCCCTATTTCCTATTTCTCTATTCTATTTTTATTCCTTTCGCTATCTCCTTCTTCATGTTCTTCCGCTAATATAGGATTTGAAATATTTACTGACACAAATAAACACGAAAATATCTCGCCATTTCCTATAATTTCGTACGAATAAACACAAAAAAGAAAGAAAGAAAGAAAAAGAAGAAAGTATATTTCTTATCAATCTTACATCCTCGTTAGATAATCATTGTCATTATTATCACTGATTTACAACACGCTATTATCATCATCACTCTATTATCTTATATTATTATTATCATTTATTATTATCATTATCATTATTATCATTATATCATTATTATTATTATTATTATTATTATCATTATTATCATTATCATTACCATTATATTATTATTATTATTATTATCATTATATATTATTATTATTAATCATCAATATTATCATTATTATCAATATCATTATTATTATCATTATCATTATTATCATAATTATTATTTTTTTCCCTCATCTTGATATAAAAGTACACTTTAACGCGAGGTTTTAAAGTGGGATGTTTTTTGTACTTCACTTAAGTTGTCGGGTGCAGTCCCCATACCCAGGAAGCTATGCCTTATTTTGTATGATTTTGGTGAGTTGTCTTTCTTTCTCTCAATTTTTGTTTGTCTGTTTCTGTTTGTCTCTGTTTGTATGGTTCTGTCGATATCTGTATCTGTTTGTCTCGATATGTGTCTTATCTCTTTTCTCTCTGTGTCTTTCTTTCTCTCTGTCTCTCTCTGTCTGTCTGTCTCTCTCTCTCTCTCTCTCTCTCTCTCTCCTCTCTCTCTCTCTCTCTCTCTCTCTCTCTCTCTCTCTCTCTCTCTCTCTCTTCTCCTCTCTCTCTCTCTCTCTCTCTCTTTGCGTGCATGTGTGTGTTGTATCTTCCTTTCCTATTTCTATCTCATTTCTTCCTCTTTTCCATACTCTCTCTTCTCCTCTTCTTCTCCATTCACCTACCAGTCTATCTAACTATATATACGTTCCTATCTATCTGTTTATCTCTCTATCCATCCATCCATCCATCTATGTATCTATCTACCTATATGTACCTTCCTATCTATCTGTTTATTTCTCTATCCATCTATCCATCCATCTATGTATGTATCTGTCTACCTACATATACCTTCCTATCTCTCAATCTATCCATCCATCTATGTAAATATCTACCTATATATACCTTCCTATCTATCCATAATCTATCCATCTATCCATCCATCCATCTATCAATCTATCTACCTATACCTTCCTATCTCTCTATCTATCTCTCTATCTATCCATCTATCCACCCATCCATCCATCTATCAATCTATCTACTTATACCTTCCTATCTATCCATATATCTCTCTATCTATCCATCTATCCACCCATCCATCCATCTATCAATCTATCTACCTATACCTTCTATCTATCTATATCTCTCTATCTATCCATCTATCCACCCATCCATCCATCTATCAATCTATCTACCTATACCTTCCTATCTCTCTCTCTCTCTCTCTCTCTCTCTCTCTCTATCTATCTATCATATATAAGGCATTCAACAGCTTCCAACTTCCTCTGCACGAAACAGCTGTAGGAACTTTCAACATCTCAACAGCTTGCATTTAATTCGTTGCTAATTAATGTAATTCGATGTTGATTCGGCCAATGATTTCGTGTTTTTTTGTGGTAAAGGATTGTGTTTGTGTTTGTTGAGTGTTTGTTTGTTTAGTGTTTGTTCAGTGTTTGTTTAGTGTTCAGTGTTGGTTTAGGGTTTGTTTAGTGATTGTTTAGTGTTTGCTTAATGTTAGTGTTTTTCAGTTTGTTTAGTGTTTGTTCACTGTTTATTGTGTTGTGTTTAGTGTTTTTAGTGTTGTGTTGTGTTTGTTTAGTGTTTGTTTCAGTGTTTGTTTAGTGTTTGTTTAGTGTTTGTTCAGTGTTTGTTTAGTGTTTGTTA